GGCGGAGGATCGTGCTCGCCGTCCTTTTCCTTGCTGCTCGCTCATCTCTCGGCGGCACGCGGCATGCCGCCGCGGTACCCAGTGCCGCGGGAACGCCGGCCGAAGCGGGGGCCGCTGTCCCGGCAAAGGTCGTTATGGGGGCCATCAGGCCGATTGTTCTCGTGGCTGTGCGCCTCCGCGCAGTTGCGGGATGTGGTCCCTGGTTTCAGGATGCAATTCCTGTGGTCCGTTTCGATGTAATTTATCGTAGATCCCCCGCGGCGGATCCGGGGCATTTGCGAGTAGTTCCTGTGCGAGTAGCGGAGGGCGCTTGTCTATTTGGGCTGGTCCAGCTTTATGATCCATGACATCATGATCGGGCTTATTCGTCCAGAAATTCTCTTACGAAGACCTCTAAGAAGTTGTATACTGATTGATTGCTCGAAGTCGCCGTGACTTCGTGGCAACGGGAGAGTAATAAACGTGGGGGGATCGAGGATTGCAGGGAAGTGGCACTCATGGGTCCTACAGGGCCCCAAGACTGGCACCGCTGGCCCCAAAGGTGCACGAACGGTGCAGGTTTCTTCAGCCCCCCCCGCTGATGGTGGCCACCGCTCAGATAGGCCGAGCTCTTTGACCTCGGGCAAGACGTCCCAGCAGGTCCTCCTGGAGCCGCCGGGGAGTTCCTGGCCGCTGGTGGGGCGTCCGGTGCAGGAGGTGGGGATCAGGTTGCCGCTGGAGACGGCGAGCTCCTCGGTCTGGGAATTGGCGAGCCTTTCTGCCCCCATTCTGCCCTGCGTCCCCGTCCTCCATCCCGCAGTCCTCGCCCTCAGCGTTCCCCTTGGCTTTTGAAGCCTGTTTCCCTTTTCGGCAGGCTGGGTGATGGCGCGACGGTAGTTGGCATCATGTAAGGCCTGGCTGGGCTGCAGGAGCTCTCCAGGTGCGCTCGCCTCCTCATGAGCCGTTCGCCTGCTTCATTTAAGGCAGCCCGTTCGGTGTCGGAGTCTGCGTGTTGGTCGAGGCTGGGGTAGGTGGAGAGTCTCGTACTGATCCAAGGCGCATCAGGGGCAGGCGTGCCGATGTGGCTCACCTGCATCACCGTGTCCCAAAGCATCGTGTCGTTTATATTCTACACTGCCTTCCACGCTGTCTGCCCAGTGTCGTAGCAAACGACGGGCTACCCGTCGTAGAGGTTGGTGGAGGCGATGTGGCCCCAGAGGGGGAACGTATCCCTGAAGCTGGAGGTGTGGAAGAATCTCATCAGGTCCTCGACGCGAATAGTCCAGTTGACGTCGCACGTCAGTCGCTCAGAATCGGCCCCGCTCTGGGCGATGCAGTCTTCGACGTAGTCTCCGCCCCTGGAGAGGCTTCCGTGGATCGCTTCAGGTTTACAACTGTTGGCATTCAGTTTCGACATCAGAACCTTCGCTGAGAGTCAGTCATGGCCTCCATGAGGTTCCCCGTGACCTACAAATCCTGCCGTCGCAACGATACGTTGATGAATGTTGTAGGAAGAATGACTGGTGTTGGGAAGCGGATCGGTCGCCTGGCCAGTGCTGGCCCCGGCGGCCTGGTCAGTCCAGGTGGCCAGCCTGGCCAGTCCTGGTCTCCTGCGTCTGGTGGGTGTCGGGCTCGACATCCGCGCCCTCCTCGCTGGCCGCCTCGTGCTCCTCTCCGTCCCGAGGGTGGAATTCGCAAGGGCTGGGGTCTCTGGCAGAAGCCTTGTGTGTAAGGGAGCTTCGCAGAGGCATATAATGCACCTTGACGCGGTCCTTCGATGGGAATGGCATGCCGGGGGCAGGCAGCGTCGGCGGTAGGGTGGAGCCGTTGGGATCGTTCATCGTCTGGCTTCTGTTTGGATGCCGATGTATTGGGCGCCGTCATTGTTGGGGCAGTTATTGAAGGGAGCCGATGCCCAGCTCCATCTTGCAGTTCCAGGAATGGTTGTATCCAGGATTTGGCAACAGCAGTCGTGTGTCGGACATCCTTGTCTGGCATCCTCGTCGGGGGGCACGCGCGCCCATGTGCAGCAGAGCGAGCAGGCCAAGGCCAGGCCGGGCCTGAGTGACTCTCGGAGTTCTTCTCGTTGTCTTGGCCCAGGTTTCGGTGCTTGTACCTGCGGGTGGTGGTCGCGGGCTCCGCGCCAGCCGTATCGGAATAGCGGCGGGCGTTGCGCTGAGCCCCGCAGCCCTCCCTGGCCACCCCGCCACAGACGGATTGGGCTGAGCAGAACCGATCAGGGTCTGAGGCGCAGCGGTTTCCTCTTCCCCTTCCCCGAGCTCCAACCCTAGACGCCCCTAGAAAGAAACTCCCAAACCACCCTCAACCCCCTCGTCGCCGCCGCCGCCCCTGCTGTCGTCGTCGTCGTCGTCTTTGCCGTTGTCGTCGCCGTCGTCCTCCTCCTCCTCCCTGCCCACCCCCGTCTTCACCGCAGTTCGCCCCCCTTTGCGCTGGAGCGGGGGAGGCCCAGCGCCGGTACGACCTGAAGCTGGACCTCTGCGCTCCGGTGGGGGCAGCACCTGGCCAGCCCCAGGGATGAGGCATGAGGCAGGATTGGAAGAGTCTATGCCTCCTCGATGGGGTCGGAGTAGGTGGGGCTGGAGGATGGCGCCGCATCGCCGATGCATCGGCGATGCGTCTGCGACGCGGCTCGATGTGGAGCACGGTTTTCTCCACGCCGTCGTTGCCGATGCGCCGCCGACGTCGCCAGTGCATCGCCGATGCATCGCCGATGCGGCGACCCCATCTACTCCGACCCCATCTAGGAGGCCTCTAAAGAAGACGAGGGGGTCGGAGGAAGGACAAGGAGGAGGGAAGAGGTATGACCGCGGAGGAGGTACAGGAAGCAGGAATGACGTGGAGGAGTTGGAGGACAGTTGGACGACGTTCGTTCTTGACAGGCAGGCAGGCACGACATTGCCCGAAGGGCGTCCCTTTGACACGATGTCCAATAGCTTCTCTGAACGTGATCGCTTCTAACATCCACCTTATCCTCCTCCTCCTCCTCTTCCTCCTTCTCCGCGTCCTCGTCCTTCTCCTCATGCTCGTCCTCCTCACTATTCCCATTATCCTCCCTCCGAGAGGGGGGTGGTGGTGATGAGGATGAGAATCTTGATGATGGTCAGGAGGTGGAGGTGGAGGAGGAGGAGTCTCAGCACGACCAGGAGCCTCAGAGCGACCGAAGGGGATATGGAGGAAGCAGCCGTAGGATGTCTGCGCGAGCCACGCTCTTTGAAGCTTGATCTCTCTGAGCCCCCCGGCCGCGAGCGAGGTGGCCGATGCGCTCAACACCTTCGCGGAGCGTTGTGGCCCCCTGCTGGAGGGCGCCGTGTGCGGCCCTGCCCGCGTGGTGTGCGCACCCCGCCCCGCCGCCGCGGCTGCTGCAACCGTTGTTCGCGCCAGTTCACCCCCCCCTCATTTTTTTTGTTTTCTCTCTCTCTCTCTCTCTATGTATATATATATATGTATATATATATATATATATAGATATCGCTTTCCCCCCCCCCGCTGCATCGCTCCATCTCCCTCCCTTCCCCCTTTGCCCCCTTCTCCCACGCCCTCCCCCCCCGCCCTCCCTCTTTCCCTGAACCCCTCCCACCCGCTCATCGACCTTCATCTGTCCCCGCGTCCTAGACTCGTCCCTCCTCCCCCACCTCCTCTTCCTGCCTCCTCCTCCTTCTCTTACCGCCTCGTCTTTTCGTTATCATGCGTTTATCATGCGTATTGCCATCGTCCTCGTCGTCATGGTCGTCTTCGTCCTCCTCCTCTCACTCGCAGCAACATGCCTGATGCACCTGGACTCTGCCCGCTGGACCTGGACTCTCCCCCCACTCACGCCTTGCCCTTGAGTGCCTCCCTCCTTCATTCTCCTCCCCTTATCCTCTCCTCCGTCTCCATCCCCTACCCTCCGCTCTCCTTCCCTCCGTCCGTGTCAGTTTGGGAGGCTTTCTTCCTTCGTTTCACTATGTCGAAAATGTGGCCGTCAACGATCCTGGAATAACTCCCGCCCGGTAAGGGGGGCGAGAGCTTCAGGAACCAGCGACTCGAAACACATCGAGATGTCGGAACTTCGAGTATTGAACCAAGGCGTTGAGACGCATCTCAGTGCACATGTTTCTTGTCTGGGAGGTATGTCATCCCTCCTTCCTTCGCCTTTCTCGTGTTCTCATTTTTCCTTTTTCCTGATCCTGCTGCCGCTCTGCTTTGTCACAGTAGTGTGTTCCCTCTTATTATTCTTTTTCATATGTCTCTCCCTCTTGCCTGCTGGTCTTCCTTGGGCTCCTTCGCCTGCTCATCCTCGTCCTGATCCTCGTCGTCCCTCCTCTGGCTCCTCCTCGTGCTCATCCTCATCTCGCCCTCCTCCTCTTGCATGCTTCTTTGGCTGAAGCCAGTCTGGCGGCTCTTCGCAGGAATGTGTCCACCACTTCCCGCTGTCCGCCCACCAGTGGTAAGCGCTCGCCCTGGCGAGCATGGAGCGGGAGCCTCCGCCCCGCCGCCCTCTCGAGCTGTCGGACCCTTTGTGGTTGCGCAGCGGCGCCCAGCGGGCACGCGAGGTGCCCTGGAGCAGTCTGCTGGAAGGGCCTCGTGTCCTGTGCCGCGTGCGGGGGGTTAGCTTGCCAGGATCGCAACAGGCTTGTTCCCACCCTCCTCGCACGCAGCCATTGCAGTTTTTACTACAGCGTCAATCTCAACCGGCATTTGATGTAGCCTGGGACGGCGGATTTCTTGCTGGCGTTGGCCTCTGGTGTTCTCGTGATGGTGTGGCAGGAATGGGACAGGATAACACCACCACAGATGACGAACACAGCAACGACACCAGACTCCCTCCGCCCCTCCCCTCCCGATGTTCCCTCCCCTTCTTCCCATTCCATCCTCCCTCTCCCCCCATTCACTCCCTCCGCCCCCCCCGGCCCTAGTCGTTCCGTGCCCCCTTTCTTTCCCTCCCATCCTGATCCGCCCCCCCTATCCCTCACCGGCCATGTTGGCTCAAAGGTCCAGGCGGTTTCTGTGCTCGCGGCGGCATGCCCCTGCTGGACCTGGACTCCGCCAGCCTCTCCCGCGCCCTCCTTTGGCTCCCAGGGTGTTCGATTCGAAATCCGTGTGTAGCTATTGTTCCTTCCCCTCCTCTTCCCTCTTCTCCACTCGTCCCCTCTTCCCTTTCTCTCTCCCGCCTTCTCTCCCCATTCTCCCTCCTCCCCCCTCCCTCCTCCTCCTCCTCTTCCTCCTCCTCCTCCTCCTCCTCCTCCTCCTTCTCCTCCTCATCGCTGCACCCCCTCACTCATCCCCGCTCCCCCTCCTCTTCCCCTCCTTTCTCCGCCGTCACCTCTTTTTTGCCCTCCACCTCCACTCCCCCCCACCACCTGGCACTAGTCTCCCCTCCCTCCCCCCTTCCCGCCCTCCTCCTCCTCCGCGTCTTCTCCCCCCCCAACCCTCCTCACTCTCGTCGTCGCCGTTCTCTTCCTTCTATTCCTCCTCCTCCTCCTCCTCCTCCTCCTCCTCCTCCTCCTCCTCCGTCTCTTTCTCTATCCGTAGCCATTTTGGCTCAAGCCATTTTGGCTCAAGTCCGTCCCCTCCACGGGGGTCTTGGACTTGGCCGAAATTGTCACCACAGCTGTTTCGCCCAAGGCCTTCCGGTCCAGCGCCGCGCCGCCACCGCTTGAGGCCCGCGGAGCCATATGTCCACGGGACGGCGCCTGCTGCCTCTGCTGCTGACGTTGTTCGTCATGCCGCACCGCAGCAGCGCTGACGCTCTGCATCGCCGTGCTTGCCGAGCGCTGCAAGGCGGTCGCGGCCCAGCACGAGTTGACAAGCGCCAGACATTTCAACTACACGTACTTCTTCCACACGCTGCTGCGTTTCCTGCCGCTTTGCGGGTCATCACTCCGCTGGGCATCTGCATGGGCAACGAGCTGCCGCTAGTCGCGAATTTCCTGCAGTCAACCCGTGGGCGACCTCCAGACGTTGCCCTTGGTCCTGAAGTTCAGCCTCACCGCCCTCCCGATGCCGATGCTCCACCGGCCCATGATGAGCATGCTCGTGCTGGCATCGCGCATGGTCGCCTTCCCCGTCGCGACGCTGAGCCAGAGGTCCCGCGAATCGGCGCTGGACCGCTTCCGGCCCATGGCGATGGCCCACGTCCACAACCCGTTCTTCTTCATGGCGCTGGGCCTCGTCCTCGGCTTGTCGCTGGCGCTCCTGATCCTGTCCTGCATGCCGCTGCCGCCAGTGGCTCCCGTCCACGTGACGCTGGTGACGCACCTGGCGATGGCCCACGTCCACAACCCGCTCTGCAGCATGCCGCTGGGCCCTTTCCTCGGCTTGCCACATGCGCCCCTGACCCTTTCTCTGCATGCCGCTGCCGCTGTTGGCGCCCCTCTTCGTGATGAATATGTCCTGCATGCCGCTGCTGCTGGCGGCGCCCGAACGCGTGTTGCTGGCGATGCTCTCGCTGCTCTCCGTCCGTTTCTCCGCGAATGGCATCGGGCCGCACGGCGTAAGACGCTACTCCACGTTTTGTTGGGGTTCTTCATCCGCTGCTTCGACGCGTGGTTCGTCCTAGTGTTCGAGTCTTCCTTGTCCTCGGAGAGTTACCTGCCAGACGAGGTTTTGCGCTGAACATGATGATGCTGCCGCTTGTGGCGAACAAGTGCACGACGACGCTGCCGCGTGTGGCGAACAGTCTGCTCTCAAAGTACATCCTGTTGCTGACCACGATGGTGCTGCCGCTGGAGGCGAGCAAGTGCACGTCGGCGCTTCTGCTTGTGGTGCACATCCTGCTCGCGAAGTATACCCTGATGCCCTTCCTAGGGCACGTGTGCTCGACGGCGTCCAAGACGATACCGCTGGTGTGGATAGTGTTGCTCCTGCTGGCCCCTGGCGGGTGCTCGATGGCGGTTCCGATGCCTGGGTTGTCCCTGGGGCGCCGCACTTTCGTCGCTCCGATCTGCTCCAACTCAGATGCTGCAGTCTGGCTATCGCTGGCCTGGTCGATGAACGTGTGCGCCGTGCTGTCGCGCCGCATGACGATGCTCGTGGTGTTCCGCTGCCTGCAACGGCGTCCGCAGCCCATCATGCAGCTCGCGACGTCCGACCACATAGAGCTGTCGACCACGGGCGGGGCATCTGCTGGGACTGCGAGCGCCGACGCTGGGATCGATTGGCTGACGCTGCCCCGCATGCTCACCCCGATGGTCGCGTCCTGCCTGATGCCGCCGCTGGTGGCGCACAACCCCCTCCCGCTGAACGAGTCCCGCGTCGCGCTGCCGTTGGTGGCGAACGTCTCCGCCCTGAAGATCCCGCCCTGCACGATGCCGCGGCTGGTGGCGACGGATTGGCTGCCGCAGCCCATCCTGCGCAGCCCGAAGAAGGTCTGCATGCTCCTGCGCGCGCAGTTCCGCCGCCTAGCGTGGCTGCCGCTGCGCATGAGGCCCCTGCGGCCGCCCGCCGATGTAGTCCTGGGCCCGCCGTTTGGCTCACTCCACCCCGCTCTTCCCCGTCTGTCCTGCCATCCGCCCTTGCGCATCCCGCATTCCCGAGCGTTGACATCAAAGTGCGCCCGAATGCTGCGGCCAGCGCAGCCACGTATTACAGTGTAGCAGAGTATTCGGCGTAGAGGTGGGCGGGGGCGAGCGGGGCCACCATCTGCCCTCGTATCGCTTCTTGTCCGCTTGCCATCGTGTTTTCTCGTTCAAGCTACTCGAACTCCGTCTCCGTCTCCAGGTCCTCTAGGTCTTTGGCGCACCGCGTCCCGCTGGTGCACCACTTGACATGCAAATAGGGGAGTGAAAACCGACTGGCGCATGGAGAGGGATCACGCTCGCATGAAGGGCAAGACCTTTCGAGGCCCCAGCCCGAAGGAGGGCCGATCCCGCCATGGGGGATCTCAGCGAGTGGCTCGCAGCCGTAGTCTCAGGCCCGTTGCCACATCGCTCATCTTCTGAGCGCCGAGCTCCCCGCAGACACGGCGCCGCAGTCGGCCTCCAGCGCCGCTCCAAAGTTTACGGGCGGGGGGGGGGCGCCGGTCGGGGGGGTCCGGGGGGGCCAGCGCGCGGAAACGCAGCTATCGCGACCTCGACCATCCACGCATTCCATATTTGGCGCAAGCGGATTTCCCACCTGCCCTGGCCGGCGCATGTCCGTTCGTCTCGAACGCGCGTTCCAGAATGTCATGAGGTTTGAGCCGCCTGGCTTTGAAGTTGCCAGCGTTGTTTGAATTCAACCTGGGCAAGCCGCCCCCGGCCCCCGCAATCAACGCGGCACGGCCCCGAAGGCGTCAATCTTGCACGTTGAGCGCGTTGAGATGCGGAGGGACAGGGCGCATCTTAGCGCCGAGCGCGGCCACCCTGTCGGCTTCGCGGTTGCCTCTCCAGACCCACCAAACACAGTTTCGCGCAGACGCGCTCGCCCAGGACGAGTGGCTCCGAATTTTCTCGACCGTGATCTGCGCAGTTATTTTCACACTTGTGAAACCTATCACGCCTCAGCCCTGCTTAAGCCTCGTGGCCCAGAAACTGATCCGGACCGCCGTGCCAACTGTCAACTGGCAGTCGCAAGCAACAGTGATGGGCTCAACTCCTGCGTCGTGGATCAGCATTTAGAGGGCATATACTTCGGCGCAGCCAGACGGCCGGACAAGACAAGGTGGGGCAGGGGCCCGTGTAAGGCCCCGCCCGGCATCCACGCCGGCCCACTTGGACCACGCCCCATCCAGCCCTCTAGAGCGAGATCCCCAGGGGAACGGGCGCAGCCGTCAATCGCACTATTGCTGCTGAACACCCCGATCAGGGGGAGGACGTTCCAAACTTGGGGATTTCTCAGACGGGGCATCGACGGCAAGACCGGGGGCCAAACGCCAGGCGGTTCTGATATCGCAGGGCGAGCCTCGTAGAAGTCCGCGATCGCTTCTGGCGTTTTCCAGTCCTCTCCGCGGTCACCGCGCGGCTGGGCATCCGACAATCCCGCGCTGCAGCGTTCCGAGGTCACCGCAGAACTTTAATTTCGGACAGGCCGTCCGTCGATCCAGGAACAAAGTGCGCTGGGTGGGGTAGCCTCCAGCAGCGACGCCTGACAGAAACGCAGGCTGCACAGCTTGCCCCTGGGACCGAAGCTTCCGCAAGACGTGGATCACGGGTCCCCGAGAGCAGGGTCTTCGGCGTTTGCTTTTTCGGGCAACCAGAACCAATGGCCGCCCCTCTACAATCTTTCCAAGCGATCGGGCGGTGGCCCGCCCAGCCCAGACGATCCAAGGGGCCATGGGGACCCCCTCCCTGCCCACGAACATGCTTCCAATCAAATCAAGGGGGTCTTCAGGGCAGCCTCGAACATGTTGGCCATGAGATGGGCAACCGCCGCTCGCGCCGAGCCTGCGCCCAGGACTGGGAAGGAAGCGGGGTGGCCAAGAAGGTAGGGTCCAGGGCGTGGTCGGCGCAGAGCAGGAGTTCGAGGCCGCGCGACCTCCCTCGAGTTTTACATATAACTCCGCGCAATAACAACACGCAGCTGGTCGGGACTCTTGCTGGAGACTCCGCGCGCGCGTGCGCCATGCATGCCTGCGGGGGGGGGCCCTGTCTCCAGGGCCCTCTCGGCGCCCGTAGCCGCTGGGCGGAGGGCGCGAAAACAGCGAGCGCGATGCTGGGGCGCGCCGACCCTGCCTGCCCCCTCCTCCTCCTCCTCCTCCTCCTCCTCCTCTTCCTCCTCCTCCTCCTCCTCCTCGTCCTCCTCCTCCTCGTGCCCCTCCCTCTGACGTTGCGCGGACTGACTGATGCGGCGTGGAGCGTTGAACCCTTTCCTCCTCCTCGTCATCCTCTTCCTCCTCCGCCTCCTCCCCCGCCTTTCCATGGCCATTGTGGCCTGGGCCGCTTCGGTGCAGGCCCGCGGCGGCAGGGGCTGTTCCGGCTGGATGGATTGCATGGCCTTTCAACTGCGCTCCTGGCGGCGCGCCAGGCGCGTCCACTGCGCGTCTCCCTTCGGCTCCCTGGCGCCGAGCAGGGGCCCCGCCTCTCTCGTCCACGGCAGGAGCGTTGGGCCACCTGCCAGGCAGGAGCCGGCAATTCCGAATGGGCGCAGGCATCGACGAATTTCGCGAATCGCACGCCCCCCCCCCCCCCACACACACACACACGCACACACACACCGCCCCGCCCCGCCCCGCCCCGCCCTCAGGCATTGCCAGCGCTGCTGGCGCAAGCAGACGGGGAAGCAATGGTGGGGCCGCGCTGGCCACGACCATTGCAGCCGGCGCCGCCAGCCCAAGGGGGCGGCGCGTGCAGGACATAGCTGCTTGCTCGCGACCGCGCCCTCGCAGCACGCCCGCGCAGCAGCCTGGGCACGCGGGCGGCGGCGGCGGCGGCGGCGCGTCCAGCAAGCAATCCGAGGCTAATGTCAAGCGTCTGCATGCGGAGCTCGAGCGCCTCGAGAAGCAGCAGTGCCCGGCCCCCGCTGACTCCGCAGCAGTCGACGAGGTCATCGCGGGCGGCGATGGCGTCGCCAAGAAGGGGCCCGGGACCACTGCGGAGCACCTCGCCGCCTTGGACGCTCTTCCACATTGCGCGGAGATCACCGAGTTGCGGCCCAAGCTCACAGAGGGCAAGAGCCTGGACACACATTTCAAGGAGATCTCTTCCCAGCGCGCCATGCTGGAGAAGGGGTGAGACTGCCGCGAGCAGCAGGTCAAGCAGCTGCGGGACAAGATGGTCGATGCACAGCCGGCAGTCGCACAGGCTCAGGAGGTGCTGGATCGCGTCAGCCAGGGGCTCCTCGACTTGGGGGCCGAGCGCAAGCAGCTGGTCGCCGAGGAACCTCTGCCGCAGGTGGTCACCAAGCCCAGCCTCGCGCAGGCGCCTCCCCGTCGTGGATGATGCGTTCGCAGCGGGGAAGCTTGGCGAGCTGCTCGCGTCCTTCGGCGCGGCGCCCGAGCTGGCAGATGGGTTGCGCGGCTGCCTGGCGGGGGCGCGCGACGCCGAGGCCGCCCGCCGCGCTGAGCAGCAGCGACGCGCTGCCGCGGCGGCGGCGGAGCTGGCGGCGGCGTCGCCCCGGGCGCCGCCTGCGGCGGCGCAGCCCGAGGCAGCGGCGGCGGCGCCTGGCGCGCCAGGCCGGGTGCCGCACTCAGCTGCCGACCCAGAGGTTCCGGGGACTTCCTGGCGGCCACGGGCAGCGCGGTGCCAGAGGACGAGCAGGGGCTAAGTGACGCGGTCAAGCGAGTCAGGTCCAGTCTCTTGGGTTTCGTGAAGAAGCCCAGGCTTGGGGATGCCCAGGCTTGAGAGCTGCGCGACCGTGATTGTGTCTTTCATTGTCATCAGCATGGTTCGTCCACCACGATGAGCACTATTTCCTTCGGGCCGCTGGCAGTGCTGCTAATAGCAGAGCAAGGCAATTTCGACGGCGCCGCGCATATCACGCGCATGCAGGAACACCATTTGGCCCAGGAAAAGCAGACAGGGCAGCGGCATCACGGGTAAAGCAGACAGGGCATCGCGGAGCGCGGGGCGCTGTGGCCGTTACCGGCTCGCCCGCGGGCCGCGGCGCCAGCGGCGGTGCAGGCGTCTTTTGCCCCGCCGCGGCGCAGATCACGAAGCCCCCGATTTTGTCTGACGCGACGTTGGTACCGTCCAGGGCGATTGCTGCGCATCTGCGCACGGCGTTCAAAGCAGGCGTGGTGGTCATTTCAGCATGTGTAATCCCTTGGGTATGACTGGGTAGAGGGCGGAGATTTTAACATGTCTCCGCGGGTAGCAGGTGATTGGGCGCGCGCAGCGGGAGGTGTTCTGCCTGCTACTCCGACGCCCACACGCACGCACGCACGCAGGTAGTGTGATCGATTTCTTCGCTGCACCGGAGAATGTCGCGATCCGTTCCCAGGCTCCATATGTGACCTAGACGCCAGCCAACGCATCGCGCCATCGCCCTGTCTCCTTCGGCATCACAGGAAAGGCGACCACGCTATGGGCCAGGGCGCCGCGGCAGCCGAAGAAAACCCTTACGACGGCACCTCGAGGTGGTGGCAGATGCCCGCGTGACTGGTCCTAATTTCGCAGACATTGCGTTGGCTACATCGTGCGTCGAGCTTATTCTTTTCTGTGATATTCTTATTCATGGAGTGGAACAGGAGATGCTCGATGGACATGACATCATGGGGTCTGCGTGCGATGAGTACGCCGGTAGAGCGGGCAAGCGCGAAGTTGTTTGCGCGAGCGTTCAAGCTACGTCGCAGATCAGGCTTCCCCATGCAGGACCCGACTGCGCGGCGTGCTGCAGCAGCTCGCTGGGCAAGGCAGGTGGCTTGTTCGGCGCGGTCTTATTGAATTATGTGCCCTAACTGAACGAGGTTAATGTGCGGCAGTCGAAGGACTTCGACAGGGTCGCCAGGGTGCCGCACGATGCTGCGAGCTTCTACCACAACGTCGCGAGGCACCGCAAGCTCCTCGCATATCTCGATGCGCTGACGCGTGCTTTTTGTTTCCTCGCAGGCTCCCAGGCGCTCGCCAATCCCGCGACGGAAGACATGGTCCAAGCGATCCTTGGGTTGGCCGGGGAGCCTCAGGTGAGTTTTTCGGGCTGGCAGGGAGGCCTCATGGCAGGCCTCGTTCCCCGAAAGCTTCAGCGGCGGGGCCGAAGGCCCCCGACGTTTCGCTCGGGCCAAGGGCGTCCAGGATGCGATTGCGGCGACCGATCGAGCCCAGCCCTGCGAGCTTGCCGGTTCGACGCGTGCCGGTGGGGCCCAGATTTGGGCCGCCCTCGGGGCGGCAGCTGAAATGCTCGAGGCCTGCGAGAGATGTCTCCCCTGGCCGACCGAGAGGCTCGTGGGCCACTTGGTCAGGCTGGGCAAGCCAGACGGGGGCCACAGACTGATTGCGCTGCTTGACACCATGATGCGGCTCTGGGGCAGGTTGAGGTTCCCCGATGCCGAGGCATGGGGGCTCGACTTAAACTTAACGGCAGAAGTTGCGTCGGCCAAGCAGCATCAGTTAATTCCGGTCCTTTTAGACATGACCAGTTGCTATCATATGATAAAGTTGCCCGTGCTCTTTCCCATTTGTCGTGAGGTCGAGCTCCCACTTAGATCGGGATGGGTGTTAATTCAAAGTTATATCGCCACTCCTCAACATAGATGTTTTCAAGTCACTCTCCGAGGCTTACGTTTGCTTTCAAGGAAGGGGTCCTTGCTGGTTGTCCAGAGCCTCGTCGGTCATGATGGCCATGCTTCTCCAGCTCATCAAGAGAACGGTCAGCGGGTTCCGCAACGTTCAAGCGAGAACCCTAATGGATGACGCCTCCTTGCAATAGCATGGGCCAGGTGCGAGTGACGCCACCCAGGTCTTTGGAGCTACGAAGGAGCTAGCTCTGTGGGCAGGCGCAGCCAGCCGGCCTGTGGCTTCAGCCGAACAAATCAGGCTTTTTCTATGTGAGCACTGCGGCTAGAAAAAGACGCTCAAGGTCACAGCACGGATGATAGCTAGGGTTCGTCAGCCGCAAGCACATGCGCAATTAGGGCGCGGCATGTACGGCAGACGAGCGCACGGGAAGGTCACAGCCACAAGGTGTGCCGCCCTGTGGGGGAAGTTCCAGGGGCCGCAACACTTCGCAGAGCTTCAGGACACCAGAAGGCGGCAGGCCTCTGGTGCACGGGCTTGATGCCCAGCGCTGGGCACGGAGCGGGGGTCACGGGGGTGACGGATGCTACTCTCGCGTCGCCGCGCGTTTTCGCTGCCAGCCTTCTTGGGGCCAAAGGGCGATCCTATGTTACTGCGTATCTGTGCACGCACCCAGATGCGTCCTTTGACTTTGCTTTTTTAATGCCGCGGTCCTACTGGCCCATCGTTGCTGTTGCTGGGTCTGGGGCCAGCGGCTTTCTGGTGCCGACCTTCGAAGGGCCTGGTTTGCCGCGAGCAAGCTTTTGTCTGGGCGACCTCGCTGGTCGCGTGTCCGAGAGGCTGTCCCTCTGGAATCTCGGTTGGGGCCTGGTTTGGGCCCCGCCGCGTGCGCGCGAACCAGGGCCAGGCCATCTCGCTTCTGACCGCGTGCCCCAGCGACGTCCGCACACAGCTGCGAGAGGGCATCAATCGCGATCCGCGCGTGTAGCTTGTCGCCAGCCTGCCTGGGGCGACGGGCTCCGAGGTCATTTGGGGCCGAGCGCCGAGGGTGGGGGTGGGCATGATCGGAGATCCTGTCCGTCGCGCTGCGTTTCGCGCTCTCCTGGGCGGCGCAGTTTGGCCGCCAGCAAAGAAGCATTCGCACGGACGCGCGGGGTCGCACCTGCGCGATTTTTGTAAGACTGCGCCGGGCACATTCGGGCTCCAGCCCCATGGTTGCACTGCCTTTTGGAGCAAGGATGACGATCCAGATGCTGTGCCCATTTTGCCCGACGATTGCATGGAGCATCGAAAGTGGCTGAGGGACAATAGGGCCTTCGGAGTTCCGACCGATTTCGATTCGGTTGAGCTTGTTTGTGGTCGATCGCATCGTTCGATCGAGGTCGACCCTGTCCTTCAGCGTTATGTTTTTTTTGAGTGGGGCGCCACGCGCATGGACTGGGGGTGCCGACTCTGCGCGGACGGGCCGGGCCTCCGCAGTAGCTGCCCAGAGATGTCGCGATGCGGCTGGGCAGTTGTTGACATGTCGCCTGGCGGGTGGCCAAGTCGAGCACGCTGCGGGCCGCCGGCAGTCAGACGCCATGCCGCGCCGTGCGCGGAGAGAGAAGTGATTCTACAGGCGTTGCGAGTTGCTCCATGGGGCCCCGTCGTCGCGTCGGACCACCTGTGCGCCGCGCAAGAAGGGGGGCGGATGGAGCCCTTTGCTTGCGGCCGGGCCCGGCAGACGCGCCGCGGGGGGGGGGGGGCATTTTCGAGCTCTGCAAGGGTAGAAACGAGATGCCCGTTTTCCAGTGGATCCCTGCCCTAAGTGATTGGACAAGGCCCTCGAGGACCTGGCCCGGTTTGCCGCGGCGCCGAGGGGCCGCCGAGGGCCGTCGATTTCCTGGGAAACGCTTGGGCTTATGTTTTTTAGTCGATTGGGGCTGCTGGGCACGAGTTGTCGGAGGCCGTCGCTTCCCGCGGTCGCGCCCAGCTCCAATGCGCGTGCAAGATGTCGATTCTGCGGGCCGCGCGCGCAGAGAGCCGCCGCCAGTGCGCCCGAGGCCTTAGCGCGCGCCAAGCCGCGGAAGGACGCCCCCCCCCCAGTTTGCTCTCCACGCCCGTGAAATGGAGGCGGTTAAGTCGGGGGGCGGGGGGGTGGGAGATGCACCTGGCGCTGCAGCTCAGCGCGCGCGAAGGCAAGTCGTGCGAAGCTGGAGCAGCCTGGCGCCCAGTGCCAGCCCGCGCTGCTGCGCCTGTGCTCGACAGCTGCGAGAGCGCGGCGTAGAGGCGGCCCGTTGCCGAGAGCTTGGTGCGAGGGCATCCGCCATGCATTTGTATTCTGCGTGCTGGTGGGAGAGGCTGAGGGCGGCGCTGGCCCGACAGAGCCCCCGCCTGCTTTCGGGCACCGAGGGCTGCAATGCCAAAAGCGCGCGAAGCGAGGGCACGGGCAGCAACCTGCTATGTCGGGGCCGGTGCCCCCCCCCATCGCGAGCCGCCCGTCAACGGGGCGAAGAGGCCGAAGTCTATGAGGCCTGAGGGCCGCGCTACGGCAGCAAGAATGTCGGATGATGCCACGGGCAAGGGCAAGGGCAAGGAGAGCGAGAGCGACGGCAAGGGAGCCAGGAGGCCAATCAGTCGCGCGCCAGATGATCAGCAATAATCCAGACGACGCCGAGCTGCGAATCCGACCCAGCGGGGCCTGCAGCACGGGGGTTGCGTCTTCAAATCCCGCACCGGCCGCGAGACCGCCCGCGCCCAGAGATTTCCGGATGGGCGCGTTTTGGCGCGTTGAGGCTGATGCCGCGCGGCGCCGCGCGGAGGATGCCTACCCCCGGCGCGCGTGCACCGACGCGGAGCAGCGCGATGTGTATTCCTCCCCTCTGCGGCAGGGAAGTGCCAGGAACTGGCGGTCGTTTTGGAGCTGGGGCGCAGGCAACTGGCGCGACGACAGCTGGAGCCGCGACGACCACAGTTGGCGGTGAGAGGAAGATAACGAGGAGGGAAACACGGCAATGCCGCAGGTACCCCATCGAGACTAACAACCGCGGTTTAAGTACGTCCACAATGGATGAAGTGAGCCGCCTGGCACTGAGGTGCTATGCGCTGAGTGCCCCAGAGCGCTGTGAGCCAGGTAGCGGGAGTGCTGCCTGGCAGGCGCGGCGCAACGGGCCGTTTTATACACAACTTCGGGGCGTTGACACATCGGCAGCGCCCACCCGCGCGAGTGGAGCTCGCCGGGGAGGCCGCGTGGGGATTGATTTAGTGACGCGCTTGCGTAGCCTCAGCGACACTTGCATGTGCATGCCTGCAGCTGACTGGGCTGCGATCAAGAATTTGGATCGAGCGCCCGCCCGTCCCTCGGCCGGCCAGCCCTCTGTCTTAGTATTCCGATTACAGTTGCAGCTTAAAGGCGCGTAATCACATTTTGCGCCATGGCTACGAGAAGTGCAGATCCAATCCACCACTTGAACCTGAACAGGAGACTGCCACATGAGGAATTACGCTACCGAGGAACCCCATTTTTAATATTATGTGTTTGCTTGTCATTATCATATATGCGCAATCCTGCGTTCTAAACCCTCGTCGCGAATCGTCGTCGTACTTGTCGTACTCGTCGTCGTACTCGTCGTACTCGGCGTCGTACTCGTTGCCGTTATATCGTCTTACTCGTCACCGTACTCGTCGTCGTACCTCGCCGTCGTGCTCGTCTTCGCATTCGTCGTCGTGCTTGTCGCACTCGTCGTCGCACTCGTCGTCGTCGTACTCGTTGTACTCGTAGTGCTCGTCGTGCTCGTCGCCGCACTCGTTGTCGTCGTCGTCGTCGTCGTCCTCCTCCTCCTCCTCCTCCTCCTCCTCCTCCTCCTCCCCCGTCCTCACCGTCGCAACCAATCCTCTCAACTCCTCCGCACTCATCTCAATTCCCCCGCACTTCCCTCAACTCCTCCGCACTCCTCTCAACTCATTCTCTCACCTCGTTATGTACTCCTCCTTCTGCACTCCTCCTTCTGCACTCCTCCGCATTCCTCTCAGTTCCTCCTCCCAACTCATCCACGCTCGTTTCAACACCTCCGCACTCGTCTCTAATACCCCGCACTCCTCTGGACTCCTCCGCCCTCCTCTCAACTCCTCCCCCTCGCAACTCCTCCGCATTCCTCTCAACTCTTCCTCCTTTTCCTCCTCCTCCTCCTCCTCCATCTCTCCTCCTCCTCCCTCCTCCTCCTCCTCCTCCTCCTCCTCCTCCTCCTCCTCCTCCTCCTCCTCCTCCTCCTCCTCCTCCCCCTCCCCCACCTCCACCTCCTCCTCATCCCCCTCCTCGGGTCGCCTACGGCCCGTGGGGAAACCGTGCACTTGCGAGCGCGGACGCAAGCGTCATTTACGAAAGAGCGTTGCCTCGGTTGACGAGGAATCGCGGCCTTGGAGGCGCGAGTCCATATTCTCAGAGGAGGAAACGGTAGCCGCAGAGGGTCTTGAATGATGCACTCCCCCCCAAGCTTTCGGCGGGGAATAGAAACTCGTCCCTCTTGCTGTGCCTGGACGACCGTCGTGCATAGCGGCCGCGCTCAGGGACCACCCCCTGCGCACCCCTTATGGTGTCGAGAAAGTGCCACGCCTGCTGTGCCTGGACTACCGTCGTGCGCAGCGGCCGAGCTCAGGGACCGCCCCGTGCGAACCCCTTGTGGTGTCGAGACAATGCCACGCCTGCTGTGCTTGGACGGCCGTCGTGCGTAGCGGCCGCGCTCAGGGACCACCCCCTGCGCACCCCTTCTGGTGTCGAGAAAGTGCCCCGCTTGCTATGCCTGGACGACCGTCGCGCATAGCAGCCGAGCTCAGGGACCACCCCCTGCGCACCCCCTGTGGCGTCGAGAAAGTGCCACGCCTGCTGTGCCTGGGCGACAGTCGTGCACAGCGGCCGAACTCTTGGACAACCCCTCTGCGCACCCCCTGTGGCGTCGAGAAAGTGCCACGCCTGCTGTGCCTGGACGACCGTCGTGCATAGCGGCCGCGCTCAGGGACCACCCCGTGCGCACCCCCTATGGTGTCGAGAAAGAGCCACGCTTGCTGTGCCTGGGCGGCCGTCGTGCATAGTGGCCGAGCTTAGGGACCACCCCGTGCGCACCCCCTCTGGTGTCGAGACCGTGCCACGCCTGCTCTGCCTGGACGACCGTCGCGCATAGCAGCCGAACTCAGGGACCACCCCGAACGCACCCCCTCTGGTGTCGAGAAAGTGCCACGCCTGCCATGCTTGGGCGACCGTCGTGCATAGCGGCCGAGGTCAGGGACCACCCCGTGCGCACCCCCTGTGGTGTCGAGAAAGTGCCACGCCTGCTGTGCCTGGACTACCGTCGTGCACAGCGGCCGCGCTCAGGGACCACCTCCTGCGCACCCCCTTGTGGTGTCGAGAAAGTGCCACGCATGCTGTGCATGGACGACCGTCGTGCATAGCGGCCGAACTCTTGGACCACCCCTCTGCGCACCCCCTGTGGCGTCGAGAAAGTGCCACGCCTGCTGTGCCTGGGCGACAGTCGTGCACAGCGGCCGAACTCTTGGACAACCCCTCTGCGCACCCCCTGTGGTGTCGAGAAAGTGCCACGCCTGCTGTGCCTGGACGACCGTCGCGCATAGCAGCCGAGCTCAGGGACCACCCCCTGCGCACCCCCTGTGGTGTCGACAAAGTGCCACGCATGCTGTGCCTGGACTACCGTCGTGCATAGCGGCCGCGCTCAGGGACCACCCCCTGCGCACCCCCTATGATATCGAGAAAGTGCCCCGCTTGCTATGCCTGGACGACCGTCGCGCATGGCGGCCGAGCTCAGGGACCACCCCCTGCGCACCCCTTGTGGTGTCGAGAAAGTGCCACGCCTGCTGTGCCTGGACGACCGTCGTGCATAGCGGCCGCGCTCAGGGACGCCCCCCCTGCACACCCGCTCTGGTGTTGAGAAAATGCCACGCGTGCTGTGCCTGGACGACGGTCGTGCATAGCGGCCGCGCTCAGGGACCACCCCCTGCGCACCCCCCTCCTGCCATCCCCTGCGAATCCTACGCGCACGTCTTGTACATGGCATGTTCTGTGTATGTGTATGATGCGTGTGCGGCCATATCGGGACGTGTCTCATGTGTGTGCCCACTATGTGGCGCACACGCCTCAATGGACGCTGCAGTGAACACGCCAGGCGCGCACTAGCGTTGTATGGTGTGTGTGTGTTGTGTGCGAGTGTGTGCATGCGTGCGGCTATATGTAGACGCGTGTCTCATGTACTTGCCGTGCATGCGTTGAGCGCGGGTGAGGAGAGGAAGGAGGAGAGAGGAGGGGAGTGGGGGTGCGACGACGTGTGTCTCAATGAGGGTGATGTATGATGCGTGTACGGCTGTATGTGGACGTTCGTAATGAGGGTGATGTATGATGAGTGTACGGCTGTATGTGGACGTGCGTATCTTGTGGATGCCAGTATGTGGCGCATACGTCTTGCATGTCCGTGTGCAAGCGAGAAGGAGAAGGAAGGTGTGAGACGCGGGTGCGGCGCGGCAGGGAAGAAAACCATAACCCCACGAAACATGTGGGGAATACTAAGGATAACAACAAGATGAGCGTGAACACATTTTGCCGACCAGTGTACGAGAGCTTCCCCCCTCACGGAAAACTGGCAAAATAGGAACGAGGATGAAAGGGATGCGGGGGGGAAATAAATACACGTGGGGGCAGAGAAACATTAGGAATGGTAGGAGGAGGGGCAGGAGGAGGAGGAGGAGGAGGATAAGGAGGAGACGGAGAAGGAGGAGGACGAGGAGGAGGAGGAACAGGAGGAAGAGGAGGAGGAGGAGGAGGAGGAGGAGGAGCTGCTCGGAATAGGTGGAGGGAGCGCGCGGGGGGCCGGTGATGCCTCATACCGAGGCTCCCGAGCCCCGATGCGCTGCGCGCGGGGCAGGCCACCGCGCGCCTGGGGTCGCTCTTCGGCGTGCGCGCCCGCGCGGACTCCGGCCCCGGGTGGCGAAGGCCGCTGTGGTCAAGGGGGGATGGCCATGACGGAAGAGGGGCCTGACATAATGGGGTCCTGCGTTTTGTCACTGTTTTCGGCCTCCCGGGGCCCTCCACGGGATCCAGGACCGTCAGAAAACGACACAGGATGAAACAAATGTCCTCGGGGATGGCCCCAGGGCTAGGCCGTGTTTCGCTGCGTATCCGCGTTCTTCATGCCAAAAGGATTGGAGAGCGGAGACGGCCTCCCCCCTTTCCCCCCCCCCTCCAACAGACTCGCCCTCGTCTCCTCCCCCCCCTCACCCACTCGCCCTCCGCATCCCTCCTCGTTCCTCCTCATCTTTGCTCCCCATTCCTTTGTCTTGTTGCTGAATCAAGCTGCGAGGGTGAAACCTTGACGTGGCGTCAGCCTCCCTCCTCTTCGCTCCCGCCTCCTCCACCCCAGGTCGGTGCCGACGGGCGCCAGCCAGACGGTTGGGGAGGGAGTGGAAAAGGAGGGGGGGCGAAGCCCAAGGGCATATCTCGAAGGGTAAGAGTCAGCAAAAATGTAAACATTTGGGAGTTCGGCGCGGGAATCTTTCTTTGTCGGCGTTGGATGGAGGGTTTGATGAACGGGAGGATGGTGGACAGGATGAGGAAGGCGAGGGAAAGGATGAGGACGGTATGGGAGAGATGCGCGAGGAGGTGGAGGGTGGGGAGGCGGAGGGGAGTGTCGTGATGAGGAAGGACGGTGATGGGTTGGAGGGGGGACGCCAGCAGCAGGAGGTCGATCATGAGCATGTGCACGAGCACGGGCACAAGCAGGATCACGAGCTCGAGGCTGAGGATGCGGCGGAGTACGAGAAGAGGAGGATACCAGGAGGAAGTGTAGTCGCCGCTGGAGCAGGCAAATGACCAATACAAGAGGACTAGGACGAGACATTAGGAGGAGGGGCTATTGGGCCGTTTGTGACGACGACGACCACACGAGGATGACGGGATGAGGCGGCAGAGGAGGACCGGAGTATACCGCATGAGCAGGGATGTCAGCAGCGTCAGTTGGATTCGAAGGTTGCTGGGCGACGAGCCGCCCGGTCGGCACTGGAGCAGCGGCTTGCTTTGGTTGCACGGCGCGGCGGCGCCTGCAGATATCGCCAGGTGCAGGGGCCCTCCTCCTCCTCGGTCTCCGCCCCTGTGTCGTCGTCGCCGTCTTTGTCGTCCTCGTCCTCGTCGCCGTTGTCGTCTTCCTCCCTCCTCCCTCTTCGTCCCTCCCTCCTCCCTCCTCCCTCCTCCCTCCTCCCCCCCAGTCCCCCCTCCTCACCCCTCTCGCCTCACCCCTCCTCCCTCATCCTCCTCCTCGTCCTCCTCCTCCTCCTCCTCCTCCGCCTCCTCCTACTCCCCCGCGGTCGTTGACCCTGTGTAACCCTTGGACCCCGCTCTTCGTTCCCGCGTTCTCCATCCACACTCCTTTCTCCTTCCGTTCACATCAAGCACAAGTGGCCCAAGTCGCGGGGATTCCATTTCGCTTCAACCTTGCCTTGGCGTCACGCCCAGGTGCATCCACGTGGCGCTTGAGGGGCGCGCCCTACGATTGGCAGGCTCTGGCCGTTTGCTGGAGGAGGTTCGGTCTTTGGGGCGTTGGCTAGGCCTGGGCGAACTCATCTAGGCTAAGGCGATTGCGCAGATGGAGTTCCTCGGCACAGGGTGCAGGCTTACCACGTGGGGGCTTCATATTTCGACACGTCAGCTCTCGAGGGGCACGCAGGACCAGCATTGCGACTATTGGGCATCGTTACCGAGGTCGCGGACATCTTCACCCTCTGGGTCCACGAAGTCGCCCTGGATGGGTGGCCGGGAGCGCGCGCCAGCGGCGCTGCAGCGTTGGCGGTGCGGGATTGCTCGATGTCGGAGGGCAGGTCAGTGGTGTGGTGTCTGGCTCCGTCGTGTTGGACGCGGTATTGGTCTTGTCGGCTGCGCTGGTCAGCGGCGGGGCGCCGGACTGCCTCGAAGACGCCTGAATGGCACAGCTTGATGCCGTGGTGTTGGTTGGCGTCGTTGTGCGGCAGGCTGGCGAGGTCGATCTGGTGCGGCTCGATTCAATAGTGTGGGGTGGCCCCGTAGTGCTGGGATCCGTCGGGGTAGGCACGGTGTCGCTCGGAGCCGCGGTGGTGGAGGTCAAGGCCAGGAGAGTCGAGGTGATGCTCGAATCTGTCGTGGTCGGCTGCGTTGTGGCGATCTACTCGGCGCAGCCAGTGAGCCCCATGCCGCGCGAGTCCGTCGTGGTCGATGGCGTGCTGCTCGGCCGTCGCACGTCGCCAACTTCTCGTCAGACGCTGCCGACGTCTGTCGCCAGAAATCGTTATCTGTGGTCGTCGTTTGCCGTGGTCGTCCGTTGTCGGGGTCGTCGTCTGGCGTCGTCCACCGTCGGCTGTCGTCTGATGGTGTCGTTAGTCGATGTCGCTCGTCAGGACAATCACCTTCCGTCGCATCTCGTTCGTCGTCAGGGGCGTCGGGCGTGATATGCTGGAGACGCGTGTTGTCGTACTTGGTGGAAGTCTTCGGGGGGTGCAAGGCCAGAGTTGTCGTCAGACGGTGGCGGATGTCGTCGCGGCTGTCAGCTGTCGTCAGTCGTCGGCTGTCGTCGGTAGTCGTCGTCGGTTGCCGCCGATCTCGTCTGCGTCGTGGTTGTCTGCCGTCGCGATGCTGCTCAGGGCAGTGTCCCGAGAGTATGTTGGGGTCGTGGTCCTGCACATCGTCTCACTACTGGTACTGCTCACCGACGGGGCACGTGCGGATATCGCATTCGTGCCTCTCTCCTCCTCCGTGATGCTCGTCCTGGAGGTATTGGTCAGAAGCGCGCGGTACTCCAGTGCTGGAGTCGTGCGGCTGTCTACCGCCGGGCGGCTGCTTCCGAAGATGCTGCTCAACAACGTGCCACGTGTGGATGCTGGAGTCGTGCTGCTACTGATCGTCGTGCGGATGGACCTCCAAGCGCTAATTTCAGCTGTGTTCCCAAACGGTGCCGAAATCGCGTTACCGCGCACCGCCGCGCCGTTGATGCCCGAAATCTCGCTCCCAGTACGACCACACGTGCATGCTACAGTCGTGCTGCGCAGACCCACGTCACGTGTGGATGTCCAAGTCGTGGTGCTGCTTATCGTCGAGCGGTCCACTCGTCGGCGGGGGTCGGGGGCGGGGCGGTTGGAGGAGGAATGAGTGCAGGAGCGGGCTGGGTGGGGAGGGCCCGCCGCCCCTAATTCGAGAGCGTTAGGAAAACAGGCTGGGCCGATAGCCGATAGCACACGGCCGGTCAGGGCAGGGGTGAAATGAGCACGGGGGGGACGGGGGGGAAGCTGGGAGGGGGCTGCCCAAGGATGCGAGTTGAATTCCGCACGGGGTGCTGCCTAGGCTGTTTTCCCCTTGGTGTACCAACAGAGCGTGCTACATTGGCGGAAGCTGCATCGCCAGACTCACCAAAAGGACAGAGCCAGGCCATGCTGGGCCGGCATGGCCGGTGAGCTTGCCAAATCTTCTTCGACGGCGTTTCCACGGAAAATTGTATTTGAACGTGAGCATGTGCGCAAGCTTCTCCCCCGGAAGTGGTAAGACATCCTACGCAAAAGGGGCCGACCACGAGCGCAATGGACAACGTACGTGCACGCCCGGGCTCTGAGTGTGGCGGGGGACGATTCGGAACGTTTGCAGTCTATGTTGCGCTCCCCACATGGGAAGCTGCAGTCGATCAGTACACGCAGACGTTGTAACTTGTAGCAGCGGTGTTCGCCTTCTGCGCCTCCTGTCGAAGCGGGGTGCGCCATCCAGACCTCTCGACGCTGCAGCGCCAAAAAGAAAAACGTTAGCAAGACGGGCCAGGCCAGACACCAGCAGGGGGAGGGAGGGGTGGTGAACAAGAGGGGAGGGGAGGCCTGTGAAATTAAGTAAGAGAGGCATTGGCGCGGCTGGCTCAGGGGCCGCGGCGAAGACGGTCGGGTCGAGGTCGATGCAGCTCCAAAGGATCTCGGGCGCCGCGCGGCCGAACTTGCAGACCCCGTCCTTGGTCGTGTCCCCATCCTCGGGGGGGGCGTCTGGGGACAGCGCGCAGCTCACACCATCGGGGAACTGTTCCATGAACGTCTCGGCTGTGTCCCGCTCGGCCCTGGGCGCGCCAGCACCCGCGCCCGAAGTCCAGCCCGATGTCGTTTTCCTTCTCCGTGTCCTCGTGCTCCTCCCCGTCACTGCCGATGGTGGCCTGGACTGCTGGTCGGGGTCGCGCGAAACGCTGCGCTGGGTGGGTGAAAATGCAAAATTGGATGTTTCGGATCGCATTCGGACGGTGGCACTGGGGCCTTCGATGGAGCTTCCTATGGGGCCACGAGCCGCCGCACTGGGAAGATGAAAATGCATGCCAAATTGGATGTTCCGGGGCGCATGCGGACTGTCCCACTGGGGGCTTCGGTGGAGCAACCCATGGGGCCACGAAGCGCTGTACTGGGTGGGTGAAAATGCCAAGTTGGGTTTTCGGGACGCATGCGGACGGTGGCACTTGGAGCTTGGGTGGAGCCCCTTATGGGGCCACGAACCGCTGTACTGGGTGGGTGAAAATGCCAAATTGGCTGTTTCGGGGCGCATGCGGACGCCACGAGCCGCTGTACTGGGTGGATGAAAAAGCAAAATTGGGCTTCCGGGGAGCATGCGGACTGTCCCACTGGGGGCTTCGGTGGAGCTCCCTATGGGGCCACGAAGCGCTGTATTGGGTGAGTGAAAATGCCAAATTCGGTGTTTCTGGGACGCATGAGGACGTTCCCACTGGGGGCTTCGGTGGGGCTCCTTATGGGGCCACGAATCGCTGTACTGGGTGGGCGCAACGCAGGGAGGAGGAAGGGGAGGAGGGTGAGGGAGGAAGGAGGGAGGAGAAACGCGGGGACTCTCTTCAAAACGAGGACCCAACACCACAGGATGGTTGGGAAATAGACTTCAGGATTTCCAGGGGGCGAACATTTCCATCGGCCCTGGAATCCGCAGCCCAGGCGATCAGGAATCCCGACGACTCCAGACCCTTCAGAATTTACATTTTTCAGAAACAAAACACACATTTCCTTAGATTATTGCTTGAAGTTTCCAGCGGGGCTGGAATCCGCAGCTCAGGCGACTGGGAATCGCGACCATTCCAGATCCCTTCAGCATGCTATGTAAAACATTTGTGGGGGGAAATTCCAAACATTTCAGATCCCCGACTTTTCGTACGTGTTAGAAGATGTTACATCATTTTGAAATTTCCAGGGGGGCCTGGAATCCGCAGCCCAGGTGACCAGAAATCGCTAAATTCCGGATCCCCCAGAAATTTCATGTGTTTCCCAACCCTCCTTGTTGGGTATTCGTTTTGAATAGATCCCGCGAGACCTCGCCGTCCCTGGGGGGGGGGGGGGGGCGATCTTCGAAACTGTCGCAACTTTCGAGGGCTGCTGGTGGGTCCAGCGGAGCGAGGCACCGCGCAGACCTGAGCGAGACCTCGCCGTCCCTGCGGGGCTGCGATCTGCGAAATTGTCGCCACTTTCGAGGGCCGAGGGCTGCTGGTTGGTCCAGCGGAGTGCGGCACCGCGCAGACCTGAGCGAGACCTCGCCGTCCCTGGGGGGCTGCGATCTGCGAGCCTGTCGCCACTTTCGAGGGCTGGTGGTGGGTCCAGCGGAGTGAGGCACCGCGCAGACCTGAGCGAGACTTCGCCGTCCCTGTGGGGCTGCGATCTGCGAAACTGTCGCCACTTTTGAGGGCTGCTAGTGGGTCCAGCGGAGTGAGGCACCGCGCAGACCTGAGCGAGACCTCGCCGTCCCGGGGGGCTGCGATCTGCGAAATTGTCGCCACTTTTGAGGGCTGCTGGTGGGTCCAGCGGAGTGAGGCACTGCGCAGACCTGAGCGAGACTTCGCCGTCCCTGGGGGTCTGCGATCTGCGAAACTGTCGCCACGTTCGAGGGCTGCTGGTGGATCCAGCTGAGCGAGACTTCGCCGTCCCTGGGGGGCTGCGATCTGCGAAATTGTCGCCACCTTCGAGGGCTGGTGGTGGGTCCAGCGGAGTGAGGCACCGCGCAGACCAGAACGAGACCTCTCCGTCCCGGGGGGCTGCGATCTGCGAAACTGTCGCCACTTTTGAGGGCTGCTGGTGGGTCCAACGTAGTGAGGCACCATGCAGACCTGAGCGAGACCTCGCCGTCCCTGGGGGGCTGCGATCTGCGAAATTGTCGCCACTTTCGAGGGCTGCTGGTGGGCTTGCCACTTTCGAAGGCTGCTGGTGGGTCCAGCGGAGTGAGGCACTGCGCGGACCTAAGCAGGACCTCCCCGCCCTTGGGCGGCCATGTCATGTTGTTGTTGCCCCGCCGACGTTTCAAGCCCCTTGCCCACAATCTCCTTAGTGAAGTGACTCAGGGGTTCACTTACTTACTCATTGTTTTTTCCCTTGATTGGGGACCTGCGAACCTTCCGAATGCCGCTCGCAGAAGTAGATGCGTCCATGTCACGTCGCCGCCTTCTCGTCAAATCTCCCAAGCTACTCCTGCCCCGCATTGCGCAGGGGTTGTGTACGTCGCCAGGGTAGTTCAATACCTATGTGTATATATATATATATATATATCTTTGTACATATATATATATGAAGTCTTTGAATCTATGCAAATGTCCAGGGGCCCTGGAGTCCGCGGCCAAGGCGACCAGGAATCTTGAAAAACGCGCATGGGGATAACAATGTGAGGGTATGGTAGTATGGTAGATCAGGAGGAGGGGAAGGAGGAACAGCAGGAGGAGGAGGAAAAGGAGGAGGAGGAGGAGGAGGAGGAGGAGGAAAGTCCCCAAGATGATATCCCGTCGTGGTTGTAGGTGCCCCGCCCTCCCTCTTTGTGCCTCGCGGCAGGTACGCGGCCATGGCGCGGCACTTCGGCGTGCTGGACGGGGGCCTCACGTTCCGAGGCGCCGGCGAGCTGCGGGGCCTCGCGTCTGCCGCGCTGCTGGAGCGGGACGCCGGCGGCGAGGGCGCGGTCTTTGCAGGCGCCCCGGGGGCGCCAGCAGTGCCCCAAGACAAAGCTGGGACCGGGACAAGATCTCGGACCAGGTCAATGCGGGGATCTATGCGGCGGTTTTGGAGGATGCCTGTCGGGCGCCGCGGCCGTTCCAGAGCGCCCCCTGGCACTCTCAGAGCGCTCCGGTACGCTCTGGAACGAGAATTCCCGTCCTGGCCCCGCCCGAGCGCCGACGGCCAGCGTCGGCTCGCGTCGGCGCCGGCGTCGACGACGGCCTCTGCGTCTGCGACAACGCGGCCTGCTCCGCGGCCGCCCGCGGGGCAGGCCGTGCATTGGCTCTTCGCCAGCGTGACCTTCGGTGCGGGCCCGCCCCGCCCCCCCCCCCAGCACTGCATGGTGTGCTTGGGTTCGACCTCCCCCCCCACGGACCCTTGAAGCCGTGCGCTGAGGGCTACTCTTGCCTAGCTTCATTCCTGCGTGCAGCCGACGACATGGCCCTCGAGGAACCGTGAAGTCGACATCTCTTCTCCGGCCCGACGTTTGCAAAAGCCGGCGGGAGCAGAGGACGGCCCCGTCGGCGGAAGTTGGCGGATGACTGGCGAACGTGCGATCTTTGCTGGCCTTCGGACTACAGCATGAAGGAAAAGGGGTCCTTGATCGAGGGTCGAAGTTGAAAGGATCGAGCGCAAGGTTCAAGGTTGTCGAGCGCGTTGCCACGGTTGGGTTCCCTTAAGACTGCTGCCGGGGGCGGACTGACCTCCTACCCCGACACGTCGATTAGCGAATTGGCCGTTTTCGGTTCGCGAGAGGGCGTTGCGGCCGTCATTTTTGCGGATCCTGGTCCGTCGGTTTCGGTCCCAGGCCGTTTTCACTAAAGGGTTGTTTACGAAAGGGAGGTTTGTCCACCGCCGACTTCTGGTGAGAATGTACCTCAATGGAGGTCCAGGGGGGCGGTTTTCAGGGTCGGTGCGAAGAAAACGGGTAGGCAGAGGAAACGGGCTGTGGAGATTTCGTTGTTTTCGGGCTCCTAGAGTCCTCCTCAGACTATCCAGTGGGCGCTGGCGGACACCGGAGCCGGGCTCCATCGTCCTTGTGATGTTGGAAAGAGCGCGTTCTGTGGGCGCTTGGAGTGGGGGTGGGCTCTGGAACTGAGCTCCCCCTCCCCCTCTGGTTCAAGGTGGGGGGGGGGGTTCGAGCCCCCCTCCCCCCCCTCCCCGAACCTGCGCCGGCCTCCCCCTCCCGGGCCGGCGCCGGCGCCGGCGCCAGCTGTCGACGGCGGCGGGGAGCATCGACGAGGACGACGATTCAATCAGAGCCCCGAATCATCAGGGGTAACTCGGGTCAGGGATAACTCGGGTTCGTTTTTCGGGAATCCGAACCCGAGTTATCCCGGACCCGAGTTACCCCGGATATTTCGGGCGTCCAGAGCCCCGAATCATCAGGGGTAACTCGGGTCAGGGATAACTCGGGTTCGTTTTTCGGGAGTCCAAACCCGAGTTACCCCGGACCCGAGTTACCCCGGATAACTCGGGCGTCCAAATTCAAGGGCGAACCCCCCCCACCTTCCTCCGGGCCAGCGCCGGCGCCAGCGCCAGCTGGCGGCGGCGTTGGCGACGACGACGACGACGGCGACGCGACGGCGACGGCGACGGCGACGGCGACGACGACGACGAATATGACGACGACGGCGACGACGTCGACGACGGCGACGACGACGACGGCGACGGCGACGGCGACGACGACGACGACGAAGTCGACGAGCACGACGACGACGACGGCGACGTCGACGACGCCGACGACGACGACGACGACGACGGCGACCACGGCGACGATGACGATGACGGTGACATCGACGATGGTGATGAACAGGACGACGGTCACGACGGCGGTGAAGACGGAGACGACGACGGAGATGACGACGACGCCGACGGCGCCGACGGCGACGGCGACGAGGACGACGATGGCGAGGGCTACATCGACGATAACGACGCCGACGACGAGGACGACGACGGCGACAACGACGACGACGATGGCGACGACGACGACGACGACGACCGTGACGACGACAACGACGATGGTGAATGCGACGACGACAGCAACTGCGACGACGACGACGACGGCGACGGCGACGACGACGACGAACATGGCGAAGACAACGACGACGACGGTGACGGCCACGTCGACGTCAACGACGACGGCCACGACGACGACGATGACGAGCACGACGACGACGGCGACGACAGCGACGACGAAGACGACGACGACGACGGTGGCGGTGACGACGGCGACGACGATGACGACGACGGCGGCGACGACGACGACGGCGAAAACGACGACGCCACCGACGACGACGGCGACGACGAAGACGACGAAGAACACGGCGACGGCGACGACGACGACGAGAACGACGACGGCCACGACGACGTCGACGGCGACGGCGACAACGACGACGACGACAACGGAGAAACGGCGACGACGACGACGGCAACGATTGCGACGATGCCGACGACGAGGACTACTATGGCGTCGACGGCGACGACGACGACGACAACGACGACGACGAGCACGACGACGACGACAGCGGCCATGATGTCGACGAATACGACGACGGCGACGACGACGACAACGACGACGAGGACGGTGACCATGGCGACGAAAGCGACGACGACGACGTCGACGACAGCGACGTCGGCGACGACGGCGACGAAAGCCGACGGCGACGACGACGATGGCGACGACGAGCACGAGGACAAGTACTGCGACGACGACGACGACGACGACGGTGGCGACGTCGACGACGACGACGACGCCATCGACGACGACGACGACGGCGACGGCGACGACGGTGACAGCGACGAAGGCGACAACTACGACGGCGGCGACGACGGCGACGCCGGCGACGACGACGACCACGACGTCGGCGACTGCAACCACGACGACGACGAGCATGATGACGACGACGATGATGACGACGATGACGACGACGACGACAACGGCGGTGATGGCGACGACGACAACAACGGCGCAAGGCGACGACGAGGACGACACCCACGACGACGATGACGACGACCACGGCGACGTCGTTGACGACGACGACGTCGACGGCGACGACGACGATGACAACGACGACGAGCACGACGACGAGAACGGCGACGACGGCGGTGACGGTGACTACGACGACGACGACAACGCTGGCGACGACGCTGACGATGGCCACGTTGACGACGGCGACGCCGACGCCGACGACGACGGCAACGATGGCGACGACGACGACGAATACGACGACGATGACTGCGATGTCGACGACAAAGACCACGACGACGACGGCGACAAGCACTATGTTGGACAATGAAAACGACGACGACGACGACGGGGGCGAGGGCGACGACGAAGTCGACGACGACGACGACGGCGTCGACGACGACGGCCACGGCGACGATTTCGACGACGACGACGGCGACGACGAGGGCGACGACGACGACGACGATGGCGACGAGGATGGCGACGACGACCGCGACGTCGACCACGACGACGACCAGCAGGACGACGACGACAAAGACGATGGTGGCGACGACGACAACGGCGACGACGACGACAGCGACGACCACGGCGACGACGACGACATTGGCGACGATGGCGACGGTGCCGACGACGACGACGGCGACGACGGCGACAACAACTTCGACGGCAACCACGACGACGACGACGGCGGCGACGACGACGAATATGACGACGACGGCGACGACGTCGACGACGACGGCGACGATGACGACGGCGACGACGACGACGAGCACGAAGACGACGACGACGTCGATGCGATGTCGGTGACGACGACGACGAGCGCCACGACGACGACACCGACGCCGACGACGACGACGGCGACCACGACGACGACGATGGTCATGACGACGTTCTCGGCGACGACGACGACGACGACGGCGAAGACGACGGCGACTGCAACTACGACGACGACGACGACGGCGACGGCGACGACGACGACGAACATGACGACGACGACAACGACGATGGCGTCGACGACGTCGATGACGACGGCCACGACGACGACGATGACGAGCACGACGACGACGGCGACGACAACGACGACGACGACGTCGACGACGACGACGATGACGAATGCGATGACGACTCCGAGCATGACGTCGACCACGACGACGACGACACGACGACGGCGACGGCGACAGCGTCCACGACGACGAATATGACGACGGCGACTGCGATGTCAACGACGACGGTGACCACGACGACGAAGGCGACGAGCACGAGGACAACGACGACGACTACGACGGCGACGACGAAGACGACGAAGAACACGACGACGACGACGACGACGGCGACGACGACGACGACGACGGCGACAGCGACGACGGCGACTTCGACGACGACGACGACAACGGCGACGATGGCGTCGACGTTGACGACGATGACGACGGGGACGACGACTGCGTCGGCGACATCGACGACGACCAGCAGGACGACGACAACAACGACGATGGCGACGACGACGACAACGGCGACGACGACGACGACGGCGACGACGACGGCGACGACGCCGAGAACGGCGACGATGTCGACGGCGACGACGACGACGACTTTGACGACGGCGACAACGACGACGACGGCGACGACGACGACGAATATAACGACGACGACGACGATGGCGACGACGACGACAACGGCGACGACGACGACATCGACGACGGCGACGACGACGAGCGCTACTACGACGACGACGGCGACGACGACTGCGATGTCGGCGACGACGACGACGAGTGCCTCGACGGCAAACCGCGGGAGGCACGCGACGCAACGCGAATAATATTTTGATTTGAGTTCGGGGCCTGTGAATATTCCGACAATGCGACGGCGACAGCGGCGACGACGACGTTGACGACGACGGCGACGGTGACGATGTCTACGACGGAAACTGCGGGAGGTACGCGACTCAACGCGAAGATGATCTGTTTCTGAGGTTTTGGCCTGTCAATACTCGCCGTCGTCGTCGACGACGTTCTGGTCATCGTCGCCGCGTCGCTGCCGTCGGCGCTGCCAGCCGCCGCCGGCGCTGGCGCACCAGCGTCGGCTCCTTGGGGAGGGGTTGTTCGACCCCCCCCCCTATCGCGGCGATGGGAGAGGGGGGCAGAGGTTCGAACCCCCTCCCCCTGGGGAGAGGAGGGGTGGGCGCATCGGAGAGGGGGGGGAGGGGGGAGGGGAGTCCCCCTGGTTTTCACGGGGGGGGGGCAGAGCAAACGTGCCGCCGAAAATTCCCAAGGCAAGCGCCCGTGCAACGCGCGCCCTCTGATGTTGGGGACTGCGTTTTTCGGGGGAGCGCCCCGAGTTCGGCCAGATCTGGGGTCCCGGAGTGGCCCGAGGCCATCGTATGCCCCTTGTTCGCCTGCCGACGTCGAACATCCAGTCCCGCGCGCACGTGTGCCGATCCTGGCGATTCCACCCCTGGACCAAGGACCGTCGAATGCCCCCCTCCCTGGCGAGGCCAGCGGGGCGCATCTCCCGCTCCGGGGCCAAGGATGGGCTTGCCCAGGATCGATGAGTTTGGATACTTGGCGCCCCTTCCGAAGGCCTCTTCGACGTGTTCGCGGCCGCTGGCGACGGGACGCTGCGGAGCAGGCCAAAGAGCCTCAGTTCGACGTACAGGGATTGCCACCTGGCCACCTTCGACGTATGCCTGACCCTGGGTCCCGCGCCTGGTGGCGGCGCGGCCCTCTGGTGGGAGCACAGCTTCTCTTGGCGGCGCGCAGAAGGGGTTTGGGTCTGGGCGGGGGGCAGCCTTCGGAGAATGCACAAGGCCTGTCGGGGGGAGGGGGCGGGCGCAGCTCCCGCGCCCTCTCAAAATCGCGGAGCCCTCTCAGAAGAACCCCCCCACCCCCGCCCCCCCGACCCTGCCCCCTGTCGCTCGCCGCCAGTTCTCGGGAGAGATCCGGCAGGAGGAGATGGACTACATTTCGGGGCCCGGGAAGCCAGGACCTTGCAGGCCAGGGCTCTGCCACATCCGGGCGGGAGAGATCGAAGAACAGAGATGATTCTCGACCCGCGGCCTCAGACATCCGACGATGTTGTTTTTGGGGTTTGATGTGCGGCCTCAGAGGTCCCGCCCTCCCCGGGGCCAGCTTTTCCGCCCCAGGTCCATTCTCGATGGTCATAGGTCCCGATACTCGGTCCGGGAGGTCGAGATCGAGGATAAAACCCGCGGGTTGAAGAAAACACGTGTCGTCGGAGGGTTTGGGGCTGCCGTTCCCTCGGGTGCGCCAACGTCCTGGTTTGTCAGAGCCCCCCTTTTCGATTAGGGGATCGACTGCACCTCTGGATTACCGCGCATTTGATTGTCTCGTCGGACCCATAAACATATACATATGCTCGTATTTTCGACGACGAACCGCTTTGGGGTAAATCAGTTATGTAGTCGATCATCTACCCGAAGAGCCCCCGCTTGCGGGGCCCCGAACATCGAGGTCTACCTCTCTGGCCACGCCGTGCTCCCAGGCGCGTGCGGCGCCGACGGCGATTGCCTGCACGTCCAGGGCCAAGTCGAGCCGCCAGCAGCCTGACAACGAGCGAGATTTCGATAGAAGTGGAGGTCGGGAGGGGGGGAACCAAGAGAATGGGTGATGATTCGATGGGTTACTTGGCGGCGCACACGAGCGGGGAGGCGCGAGGGGGGTAGCCTTTTAGGAAGGCGGCGCGCTTCTGAGAAGGCAGGGGCCTTCTTAGAAGGGTCTGGGGGCCTTCAAAGACGGTCGCCCCTCTCGTGCTACCCACTTTGTTGTGCGCGCCGCCAGCATGTCATGGCATGAGTTCCGGCTGGGTAAGGAGGAGTGGAGGAGGAGGAGGAGGGGAGGAGGAGGAGGAGGAGGAGGAGGAGGCGGAGGAGGAGGAGAAGGAGGAGGAGGAGGAGGTAGAGGGGGACGAGGAGGAGGAGGAGGAGGAGGAGGAGGACGAGGAGGAGGAGGAGGAGAAGGAGGAGGACGAGGAGTGAGGCAGAGGCAGAGGATGATGATGATGATGATGATGATGATGATGATGATGATGATGATGGTGATGGTGATGATGATGATGATGATGATGATGATGATGATGATGATGATGATGATGATGATGATGATGGTGGTGACGACGACGACGATGATGATGATGATGATGATGAGGAGGAGGAGGAGGAGGAAGAGACTGAGCAAAAGGAGGAGGAGGAGGATAATGAGGGGGTGTCAGTTGATAGCGTACTGACTGGGTGAGCAGAAACAGACAATTACTGAACCGCATCCGCACGGCGCACGGTTTTGCAGCGTCGTCCGTCCGCCGCTGTTTGGTTCAAGTTCCATTCGCTTGCAGGACGGAAAAGTCCCATCGTGTGTTCATGGTCGCGGGTCTCGTGGTTCGCATCACAGATTCCAGCGCGCGTGGTTAAACTCCGCGGCGCATCCGCCTGCTTGCAATGGTTGCGGCGGCAACCGCAACGGCTTCGCCGAACTTGGGCGCAGCCGACCCAGGTTTCGGTGTGACGCCGTCCCAGGCCCAAGAAGCTTGGTACAACCTGAGCACGGACCGATTCGCGGAACTGTGCAGTGCCAGTTACGATAACAGATATGCCAGGTAGGTTCGCACAGCGTTCAAGACCATGCATGACTTGATGTTTTTTCTTCGACCGCAGTGCTATGCTAGGGACCAGCAGAGCTGCCAACGACGAGGCATCCACAAAGTTGAGGATGAACTACAACATGAATGCTCTTGTGGTGCCAGTCATCAGCCGCAAAATGTCTTGCGAGGACACGTTGACGAACATGTTTGGGCACGAGGTCCATCGTCATATGTGGGCTGGGGGAGGTGGAAGCAAGCCCGCGAGCGAGTACAAGGCGGTTCAAATATTAAATCGTTGTTTGGCGATCGGGCCCAGCTCAGGGAATGGAGCGGCACTTTGTTGAGCGCGCGCGCGCCCAAGTGAAGCGCAGTTCTCGGAAAGCCTCGGAACGTGCGAACAACGAGCCCGAGACCACGCATGGGGCATTTCGAGACGACGAACGCGATTATCATATACATTTCAGTAGTGGGAGAGTAGCGTTTGGCAAATATATCCAGGCATCGCGTGCCAAGAAACAAGAAGACGACGCAACTGGGAATATGAGTTAAGCAAAGACGGCCACGCCAAGTTGGACGAGGACCCCCGGCATCTGTTGGGTGACAAGTTGGACCGGGCAGAACCCCGCGGACAGATGAAGGGTCAACGCGAAGGCGACGGCGTGATGGCTTGCCAGAAGGTGTGCATACCGATTTCTGCCGTTTCTGAACTTGCGCTCTCCCGCAACATGAACCTGGCCATGAATCCTGGCAGAGAAAATAAACGAATAGCGCGAGCGACGTGGCACACAAGCTTGAACATGTTAGCGCGCGGGGAGAGTCCCTGGAAAAGTTTGCGTCTGCATATCCGTTTGCCGACCAGGGTCGTTGCGCTGAGGGCTCCCACGGCCCGCGCAGGCGTTTGGCTCGACGACTGGCAACCCGAATGCGTCGAGACGCCAGGATTGTTTAATCTTGCCACCTTCGCCAAGTGCGAGAGTGGCTAGTGAATTATCCAGGTGAATGGCACAGATTCGCGCGGTCGTAAATGCCGAGGTGGTGCGCGCCATCTTCGGTGGAGCTCCCGGGGGGGGGCACGAACCGCGCGATGGGGTGCCCTAACATGAGCGTCGGGCGCATGCGGGCCACGCCGATGGGGCCGTCGGCGGAGCGTTTTATGGGGCTACGAACCGCGTGAGAGGTGCGTGTCGGGCGCGCGGGGGCCCTGCCGCCGGGGCCTTCGGCGGGGCTCCGCGCGGGGCCGCGAGCCATGTGATGCGCGCTAAATTAAGCGTCGGGCGCGCGCGAGTCCTGCCACTGGGGCCTTCGGTGGAGTTCTCTACGGGGGCCGCGAACCGTCTGAGGGGCGCGCCAACATGCGCGATGGGCGCGCGCGGGCCCCGCCGCTGGGGCCTTCGGTGGAACGCTATGCGGGGCGCTTTATATGGGGCCGCGAACCGTGCAATGGGCGCGCCATATTGGGCGTCGGGCGCGCGAGGGCCCTCCCGCCGGGGCCTTCGGTGGAACTCTACATGGGGCCACGGGCCGAGCGAGGCGCGCGCTGGCGCGGCGCGCGCGCGGAGAGCAGCGGCAGGAAGGGGGGGTGGCAAGCTCGTCGCGCACGCGTCGTACTGGCGGCCTACCCCCCCCATCCCTTACCATGGCATAGATCTCCTTCCTATTCGCGCCGGCGGATATCGCGGCGCTGCGCTGCGCGGCATGGCAGGGCGTCGGAGATCAACGCGCGGCCTGACATGGCACGGCGCGCCAGCGCCCGAAGGTGGGCGGGGCTTTCGCGGCCCGAAGTATTTACAATACGGCGCCGAATGTGCATCGCATCCGATGGTGTCTTCGGGAGGCCATGCGGTGAATTTTGGTGCCAACTTGGGGGGGCCGAGAACCGCGCTGGGGCATGGCGCCAGCGCTGCGGCGGGAGCACGATTCGGAACGAGCGGGGGCGCGGGCGCGAAGCCAGCGCTGCGGCGGGGGCGCGCTTCGGAACGAGCGGAAGCGCGGAAGGGCCAGCGCGTCAGCGAGAGCATCGAGCCAAGCGTGGAAGCGCGGAAATGAGGGCGCGTAGCTTGACATAGCACGGCGCGGCGACACCCCGACATTGGGCCGGGGGTTCCGCGGCGCCAGAGAAGCAGCGAATCGACGCCGAATATGCAATCGCTTCCGACGGTTTCTTCGGGGGTTCATTTTGACGCGTTGGGGCCCATGGGGAAGGGCCGAAAAGAATGCCGCGGCGCGGCGCCTGGAAGAATGGCGCTGGCGCTGCAGCGGGGGCGCGATTCGGAGCGAGCACAAGCGCGGAATTGAAGCCAGCGCTGCAGTGAGAGCACGATTCGGAACGAGCGGTGGCCCGCAAATGAGGCCAGCGCATCAGCGAGAGCAGCATTTTGCACGGAAAACCCAGCGCGGAAGCGCGGAAATCACGACGCGCGGTTTAGATGGCACGGCGCGGCGACGCCCCGAAGCGGGGGCTTCCGCTGCCCGCGCAAAGTCGACGAATCGACGAGGAATGTGCAATTGTTCCCCACATCCTAAGTGGGTGTCTTGTTTTCTCTGCACACCCTCCGCGCAGGATCTCTCTCTGCTCCCCCTCCTCCTCCTCCCTCTCCTCTGCTCCTCTGTGCTTCCTCCTCTGCATCATCATCACCATCACCATCACTCCCCACTCATCATCACCATCAGCATCACCATCACCATCGCACGATCACTCACCATCATCGGCATCGAACGATCATCCTCATCATCCTCATCACCACTACTCGCTGACTCACCACTTCGTCCCCGTCATCATCACCACGATTTACCATTATAATCGCACGATCACTCACCATCAGCACTCATCATCACCACCATCATCATCATCACGTCGTCATCATCACCACCACCATCATCATCATCATCATCATCGTCATCATCATCATCATCATCATCAACCATATATCATCATCAAACACCGTCGTCATCATCCCATTACCATCATCCACCAAGAGGGAGCCTCGTCTGTGAGTGAATTGTGAGGAAGTCTCAGGCGGGAGCCCCCTCCCTATGGGGCCCGCAGATCATGTTATTAATCCGAGCGGGTCATCGGATTCCTGTAACTGTCGTCACTGTTTGAGCGCCTCAGGTTTGAATTTGGAGGAAGTATCAGGCGGGAGCCTCGTTTGTCAGCGAATTGCGAGCAAGTCTCAGGCGGGAGCCCCCTCCCTATGGGGCCCGCGGATCACGTTACTAATCCGAGCGGGTCATCGGATTCCTGTAACTGTCGTCACTTTTGGGCTCCTCAGGTCTGAATTTGGAAGAAGTATCAAGCGGGACCCTCGTCTGTGAGTGAATTGTGAGGACGCGTCAGGCGGGAGCCCCCTCCCTATGGGGCCCGCAGATCATGTTATTAATCCGAGCGGGTCATCGGATTCCTGTAACTGTCGTCACTTTTGGGCTCCTCAGGTCTGAATTTGGAGGAAGTATCAAGCGGGAGCCTCGTCTGTGAGTGAAGTGTGAGGAAGTCTTAGGCGGGAGCCCCCTCCCTATGGGGCCCGCGGATCATGTTATTAATCCGAACGGGTCATCGGATTCCTGTAACTGTCGTCACTTTTGGGTTCCTCAGGTCTGAATTTGGAGGAAGTATCAAGCGGGAGCCTCGTCTGTGAGTGAAGTGTGAGGAAGTCTTAGGCGGGAGCCCCCTCCCTATGGGGCCAGCCGATCATGTTACTAATCCGAGCGGGTCATCGGATTCCTGTAACTGTCGTCACTTTTGGGATCCTCAGGTCTGAATTTGGAGGAAATATCAAGCGGGAACCTCGTCTGTGAGTGAATTGTGAGGAAGTCTCAAGGGGGAGCCCCCTCCCTATGGGGCCCGCAGATCATATTATTAATCCAAGCGGGCCATCGGATTCATGTAACTGTCGTCACTTTTGGGCTCCTCAGGTTTGAATTTGGAGGAAGTATCAGGCGG